CATTATAAATTGTTCAAAATACGAAAAAACAGGGAAATTATTGTAAATGCGAAGATGATGTTGTTCTCCAGACCGATTCCGGCCACGGCGGCCAATCTCATTGAGACTAGCCAACTGCGCAGGAGATATTATAGTGCACAAGTGACAAGTGTACGCGCAGACACAAGTGCACTCTCTGTTCCTGTCATTCTCATACTCCAGTGGGACGATTGCTCGACACGACCAGTGAGAGTTAAGGCGCAGGACCGACGGCTTTACGTGCTCTCCGAGGCACGGGGGTGAAACACCGACAAAATCCCAACTCCGGGCTCTAACTGAGACTTACTATACCGAAAGACTCAATAACTAAACTTGGCCCGACCCGGGACTCGAACCTCCGAGTGTGCAGCCGTACATGCTAGCCACTACACCACCGAGGCAGTTATTATTAATTAGTTTAATTATAATATTAATATTATATATATTAATGTTTAATTATAATAAAAATATATATAATATAAAAATAATAAAAAAAAAATTACTTATTGTAAATGTAATATACATATAAATATCTTGGGACATTAACACACATCTAATTCCAGTTCCATTTAGTTCCATGGTAAGCTACGAGGCTTGTGTTATGGATACCAGATAGTTGATACATTACACATATTATATAACTTTAATACATATATATTATAAATATAAACACCCATGACTGTAGTACAAACATTCGTGCTCATCACACAAATGAATGCCCCCAGCGGGACTCGAACCCGCGATCAGTGGCATAGCAAGTAGGGTCACTACAAACTGAGCCATACGTGTCGTCAGATGTATTCTACTATCTATATATTTTTGAATTGAAATAAAAAAAATGTGCATCAAACTATATTATTATGAGAACATTATTTTTAATAAGTTTCCTAACAGCCTAGTGATTCATCTCGGTGTCGAAAATTTTCCAGTCACTTGGATAATGTATGTCGGATGACCTTGGCAAACAAATATAACCCTTGCTTTACAGTAAGTTATATAAAAATATATTTATTTAATTTTAAATCACGATATTCATTCATTTATCGATTGCAAAAATATGTTAATAAAAATGTGTATTCCTTAAAATACTATCAAAAAAGTTAATTTGGAGGCTTCTAAGCCAACAAAGCTCAGCATCAGAAGTATCCCATACCTTAGTAGCCTTTTTCTATACTAATACCATATTATAAAGAGGTAAAGTTTGTGAGTTCGTGACGTTGTAGGGGTAATCTCTGGATCTACTGAACCGATTTAGATGAAATTTGGTAAGAAGATAGTTTAAGACTTTGGCAAGAACATAGGGTACTTTTTATTCCGAAAATCATCCTTTAAGGGTTTGAAAATGGGGATGAAATTTTGAATGGGGAAACAAGCTAGGGATGAACCCGAGCGAAGCGAGGGTGAGTCGCTAGTGTTATTATATATGCCAATAGTATCCGAGATAGTATGTTTTTAGAATCGAAATCTTAAAAGTTAAAGTCAAAAGTCAATCTCTATCCGCGGCAAATTCTAATAACAACTTTTTTTACCATTTTTTTTGAATTTCCACAACCCCAATAACCTAAAGGAGTACATAATATCCGCTACTCTCCAAGGAATCTACCTTCCTAAGTTTTTAGCATATTCTAAGATTTTGTGAATAATGAGAGTGAGTGAGAGAGAGGCAAGTATTTCTTTTTAAATACATTTAAATACTATACATACATATATATATATATATATATATATATATATATATATATATATATATATATATATATATATATCCCTTTATTGTTAACTATGTAAAGTATGATATTGTATTCAGCAGAAGAACAGAATATTATATAATATAATAATTGTATGATATTCTGTTCTTCTATCTCCTTATCATATAATTTCAATTGCCACAAAAATATGTTCACATTTATAAATTATTAAAACCTTCGGACAAAATTGTGTACAATAATATTATAAGGAAGTAAAAAAAGTTACGTGAGAATCTTTTAAATTACTAAAAAAACTTTTGTATATTCTTGAAAACTCAATGTTACGGTCACGATCGCTTCAAAGCTAAGCTGCGACCACACCAAATGAAACGCTAAGAAAAATGCCCGCTATTGTTCAAAAATCCTAACTAACATTATAATGCCTCTGAATGTTTTTTTATTTATATAGTTAAACTATTTATATTTTATTATATTATTAGCTAGGCTATATTTTCCAACCTTTATGGAAATAAGCTTTATATATCTTTAGGATGCTTACATAAAAACATGTTAGAATTTACACTAACATTACAAAGAGGTAAAGTTTATAAAGGATACTTTTTTTGATTTGGGTTAATTTTTGTGAGCGATTCTCTAATAAATGATTCAATAACCGGTTTACTGTTCTTCACTAATTCAGCAATCATAATAACTTAATTGTAGTCGGAAAGGAAATAGACGTTGAATTGTTTTGTCAGCAACAATAAAATGTATAGCAACAGAAACTTTGAGACGCACCCGAGCAAAACGAAGATAAGTCGTTAGTCTCTTAACTAACTCTATAATTAAAAAGCAAAATTAAAAATTAAATGTGCCATGTCTTTTTCAAAACAAAAATGAGAAATTTTTACCAAAAAAAAAAATTAAAAAAATTGTTCTATTTTATTAATAGTACTTATCACTAGTAAGACCGCAGCATTATAATGATGTCGTAACGTATCAAAATACCGGACAGACTAAAAACTGCAATTAAACGTATATACTCGTTTATAAGTTTATTACTTTACTATACGAACGTTTCATCTTTAAAGTACGTTCTCAAAAACAATTCTTGATTAGTCTTGAAAAACAAAACATTCGCTCATACAAGTTAATTATAAAAACTAGGCATAATACAATCTATATATCCGTCTGCGTGTCATAAATTATTTATGTATAAATTGTGTATTCATAGCTATAAAAATCGATTGTACGTCCATCATTTTATTTACTTTAGTTTATCATATCAGTGAACTGATCTAGATTTTACTAAGAATTTGAGAGTATTATAGAAAAAGCTATTTGCTAAAAGGAGATGGAAGATTGTTCGGTTTGAAAGGAGATGACACTCAATTGATCTACTGATTTGTAGCATTGTTATTTTAATACTTAGGTTACTTGGACTATTAAATTAAACTTTAATACCACAGAAATCATCTTATAATGAATATAAAAAAAGTACCTAGAACACTGTAGGCTGGGCCGGATTTAACCTTAGCGCCGCCCCTGAGCAAATTAAAAAAAGGCCGCCCTATTATCGAAATTTTGCAATAAATGGGTAAAGTTTCGATAAAGTTTAATTTTTTTAATTATTAATTTTTTTTAAATGCAAAAAAATAATTTATAAATGATATCAATTTTTCGAAAAATGTACCTATTAGTTAAGCATTTTTGATAATACGAAGTAATTTTTTTTTCCCGCCCTCCGAATTTTGCCCCGAGTGCCCCTAGTGTAAATCCAGCGCTGACTGTAGGTAATAGTTAAGTACTTTTATACTCACTTTAAAGTTGTTTTAAGTTAAATTAAGTATGAAACATACATTAATATTTTATATATATATATATATATATATATATATATATATATATATATATATATATATATATATATGTGTGTGTGTGTATGATGGATTGTAAATAAAAACTTTGACTTTGACCGAATGACATATTAATTAGCATTAGGTATATGCAGTCGAAGACTTAAGTTATGCTTAAAATGTCCATGTGATTTTTAACTATTTACAACAAGTAATTATTGATTTAATGGACGTTTTTACTATATCTTCATGTCGCATGTCAATAATTCATGCATGATGTAACCTATTGTTATTTAATCATTATAACCCACTTAAAATAATATTTTTTCTGTAGAATTTGCACTTAAAAGCTTATAACCTCTCATAATAACCTATAATCGTTATCAAATATAGGGGACTGGCGACTCACCCACGCTTCGCTCGGGTTTGTCCCTAGCTTGCTTCCTCATACAAACTTTCATCCCCATTTTCATCCCCTTAAGGGATGATTCCGGGATAAAAATATAAATATATGTAATAGGTATATAGATTTCCGCGATAAATACATCCTATGTCCTTCCCAGGGTCCCAAATTATCTTCTTACTAAATTTCATCTAAATCGGCTTAGACGATCCAGAGATTACCCCCTACAACGTCACAAACTCCCAAACTTTACCTCTTTATAATATTAGTACAGATTAGCGAATTACTCTCGATTCGCTCGGGTGCGTCCCTACGTACGTTTTAAATATAAATAGTTATTGCGTTAGAATTATGCTTGATATTGCAGACTTTTCCGTAGGCCACTATTTTTTTCGTGAACCGCATATGGACATAGAGACAAACAGACAAACACAAAAAATTTTAAACCTATTGTTTTAAGATCTATATTCTGTAATGTATTGTACGTTACAGTAATTGTTTTTAAAAACATTTCATATACATACAGATTTCGCTAAGTTATTGTTTTATTATATTTATACGTATAGATATGAGGATTTTTGGTGGATACCAATTGGCCTATAGTGTAATCTAAAAGATATATGACTAAATGCATGCTATTAGTTTATTTTAAAAGTTAATTCATTGAAAAAAGAAAAAAGAATCATTCCCAATATGGCGAATGAGAAACTGAAAATATATATATGTCTATCATGAATTATTTAGATAAACCTGTTTTTGAAATTCAAATTTTTTATATTACATCATATGTAACGTCCTCGTGTTAATCGAAAATCGTTTTACTTAACCTATGACTCTGGTTTTTTAAATTTATTAATATGCTGTTTCGAAACTCTCGAAATTATTGACTAACGGTACTAATTTATGAAGTTTGTTTTAAAAATGATTCTCTATGTATCTCAATTTTCGGAGCAATGTTCACGAATTATATAAATAAATAATGTCTAAAATATGAACCAAAACAGAGAGAAACAGGCGAACATATTTATTTATTTACACAAGTGAAGGTTCCGCGTACACACCAGCAAGTATTATAAGTCCAGTGGCTCTTTCTTGAACGAGGAATACAAATTCCTTATTAGCTTCAAAACGTGGTCCCAATATTCTATCTTCTAAACCTACAACAGTTGATGCAGCAGCAACTGTTCCTTCTTCTGTCACTTCCATTTCTACACTTTGCACTGTTTTTGATACATACAATTGGTTAGGGGATACTCCTGGCAGTTGAGCTCCATCTCTATTGAATATTTGCTGTATCCCACTGTATTGTAGGGGTGGAATTAAATCAACTTTAGATGAGACCTTAAAACGTGGTATATAACAGTCTACCTCTGATATATGTCCAGTTTCTTTGTAATCCGACATCCAATCCAAGGGTTGAGTCGCTAAGTTGTTTAACAATGTCTTTATTGGCATTCCGTCGAAAGGTAAAAGAAAAAGCATAGAGAATTGTTCACTTTTCCCATAAGTCATCTCCAAAATTTGTGCTCCAATAATGTTGGAATCTCCAAAATTGTGCGAGGCCTTTTGATACATCATATTAACTGCCCCGATTGTTTTGCCTTGGGAATTGTAAAAAGCCTCCTCTCTCGTTTGTTTAGAATCAAATGGATGAGTCCAACTAGCTTTAAAGAAAAGAGCATCAGCTAAAACTAACCTTAAATTTTCAAGTAACTCTGGTTTCACCGCGTTACGAATTCTTCCTTCTGTTGCTATACATATATAGTAGTTTATATCATTAGCAAGTTTCGTTGTATTTGTTGGATCGACAGTAAAGACTTCCGAGCCATAGTAGAGAGCGGATTCACAAAATTCCGGGTAAATTTTGAGACTCTCATCGATAAACATAGCCGATTTGCTGTTAAGCGTCACATCATTGTCTTTTACCTTCAACAAATTGGAGATTGATGAATGCAGTAGCTGGGTTTCTTCTAAATTGTCAGATAATCTTAATTCTTTCACCAATTCCGTAAATGTTTCTCCCGCCGATGCCTCTGCGAGTAAGGAGAATATACTCCAAACAGAAACCGGGGCCAGAGCTATGTTTTTATTACCGAAATTTTCTTCAAACGCATACACATTGTCGAGTAATTTTAAAGAAAATTGATTGATCGGGCTAAAATTGGTACCGGCTAAGTGGTTCGGTGCGGCCGTAACTATACCGACTAACGCTATGACCTTCCACATTTTATGCGACTGAGTGCCTCAGGGCTTAACGCAACACTGATGTACTATAAGGCGATTCTATCAATTTCAATGGGATTTCTCACGTATACAATGAATATCATTAGGCTTGTTAAGTAACGTTTATCGCTCGCGTGGCGAATATGCATGTTTTTGTTGAATACTGGTATATATGGGATCGTAATGTATTCGTGATATATAAATCGATTTAACACCCTATTATTTAATAAATCGATTAATGTTTTCGAATAAAGATGCTTTAACAATTAGCAAGTGATTAAGTTTTTTGCTTTCTGATATTGATTTAGTTTATTTATATAAAAAAAGGATTGAACCTACTTCTTTTTGAAACTTGATAGACAATTAGTAAATCTTAAACCATTTTAAATAAAACTATCTTTTCGGATTATTTCACCGATTTATTTAGATTTTTGGTTCCCGACGTTTCGAATGCTTTACAGCAATTATCGTCACAGGAGAGAGAAATGTCGAGAACAACATAAATCAAAATAAATCAGTGAAAAAAACCGAAATGATAGTTTTATTTATTATACATTTAATTAAAACTACGACTATAATTTATTTTTTTATATTTTACTTTAAATATTAATTTGTTTATACAATGAAAAACTAAAATAATCTATACATATAATTAAAGTGTAACTAATCGCTGTTTGGGCATGGAAAATATTTGAGAAAACCTATTATTTGGTGTCTTTAACCCAAAATTCTTAGAATTTTTGTCTGTTTGTTTATGCGTTTGTGCGCGCTAATCTCAGAGACGGCGTGACCGGCGAACCGAAGCGAGGTCGAGTCGCTTGTACTTACAAATCAAAATCTTTTTCTGTTCTATAAGATTTTAATTATTTGACCTCAACAAGCTATTTTCGATACCAAAACCAAACAACCTTTATAAATAATAGTTGGACGTCCCCGACATTTGTACTCACTGCGTAGATACATATACCTACATATGACCGATTTTAACAAAGACCGGTTTAACAAAGATAGGTTGACCGGCAGTGGGTAATTGTTTTCTTCGAAAAGAATTTGTCGGGATAGACAATAGACTGGCCCTCTTGGTAAGCGCTGCGGAGGTAGACCGCATACGAGATGGCAAGACGAGATGGCCAAGACAGCTGGATATGATTGGATACAGAAAGTCTTATAAAGTAGGGGACAATGGAAATCTTTGGAGGAAGCCTTCACCCGTGGAGGTGTTCTGGAAATTTATATAAGGAGAATATTAGTTAGAAATAATTACGTAGGTCAAGCTTAACAACAAGATTAATGTTATTTAAAACTTTTTCTAAGAAATATAAGGTTTTTTCTGTTCAGTAAAAAAAAAAATTAGCACTGAATATTTTTTGTTTCAAATTTCAATCCGAAAATACGTATCATTAACCTCATGATATATCAAATAGAACAAATACATGTTTTATATAAAACTATTTATCAAATAATTACTAACTATCAGAACAAACACATATTTGCAGCTGATAAAATAAACAGAAACTCTAAAAATAAAAAAAATGCCTTAAAAAAGTGATGTTAGTTTGAGCGGAAATTATTTTAAAATCACAAAAAGACATTGTATGAAGATGCATACTTGTAAAAGCTAAAAAAAAAAAACAGAAGGTGTAGCAAATGTTAAAGAGATACTTAATTATATTAGTGTATAGACTTTATAATCATACTACGTCCTTAGTATATTTAAAATATATATGAATAGTTATTGCGAGTGTACCTTAAGAGATACACATATGCAATTGCAGATTTTTCTGTAAGCCTTATTAAGACTTACAATTTTCTAGTACAGTATTTTGATGGTTTAGCCAGCGTAAGTAAATTTCTAGAAAGGCCTTGATAGAACCAGTTATTGTGTTTCCTGTGGCAATGAAAGATTTTCTTGTAGTAAAAGGTTTCCTAAATGTTGATGTGAGTAATAAGTTATCACTACACAAAATTTGATTAAAATCGGTTTAGTACTTTTTGCGTGAAACGCGCACATAGATTTCGCTACGACTGTTTTATTATACGTATGTATCTAGATGTATGTATACGTATGTAAGATGTATAGATAAAAGTAGGTATTGCTATTGGTAATGCTTCTTAGGAGATAGTTAAATGCTATTGGAGATTTTTTTGTAAGTTTTTTAAGACATACAAGTTACTGTTTTAGATTAGTTCGATGTTATCAAAGTTTTAAAGTTGTAGATTAGTTCGATGTTATCAAAGTTTTAAAGTTTCAAGTTTGAAAGTAAAATAAAATGGACTTCCATGATTTGAAAACAGAGTTAGTTCCATTTAAAGCTTATACGGAAAAGTGTAATATTAACAGAAATAAACGCTATGGCTTATTCAATGAATACAACCGCATTCTGTTTTATCTAAATAATAAACACGAATAACAAAATAATAATGTAACATAAATCAATTTACTAATAAATATTTTCTTATTGTTGATTTCCCGTATAAACTTTCCCCATTTTTATTACCCTTTTAAGGAAAGATTTCCGGAATAAAAATTATCTCACGCCCTTCCCAGGATCTCAAATTATCTTCTTACCAAATTTCATCTAAATCTGTTCAGTAGTTTCGGAGATTATTCGGTACAAACAAACAAACTTTCCTCCTTATAACATTATGCTGATAGACAAAATTATTGTCATTAGATGAAACTTATTTAAACAAATTAAATCTATACATATATTATAATAGAATTGTAACTAAGCCGAATCTGTACATTAAATATTTTTTGGAAAATCTTATTGAAATAAACATTATCTATAGTTTTTAGAATTTTTGTCTGTCTGTCTGTTACCGCATCACAGAAAAACCACTGGAGGGATTTTGATGAAATTTGGTATGGTGATAGCTGGTTATCCGGGTCAACATATAGGATACTTTTTACCGCGGGAAAATATCTCATTTCTGAGAAAAAATACAAAAACTGCAATGTAAGAGTATACTAATATTGATAGTTTTTGGTCATCTGAACGCGGGCGGAGCCGCGGGCTATGCTAGTGTAACATATATTTTGATTTGTTTTGATCTGCCTTATACAAGAATTTCGGAACATATTTCAGTATTCGAAAAATATAAAATTTACAAAAAGTACGTAAGCCAAGTCCGGCCATGCTGCTTATATGTACTTTTTCTAATACCAAATAAAAATATTGTTATTTAATATCCATCGGACTACTATTAATATAGAAGTTTACGTGTGTATGTTTGTTACTCCTTCTCGCTTAAACAGCTGGACGGATTTTGATGAAATTTAGTGCACAGATGACATTGAGTAAAAGGCTACTATTAGGCACGTTAAGGAATGTACCCGAGTGAAGTGTGGGAACGTCGCTAGTTTTATTACATTTAATATGTATGTTGGGACATTAACACACAGCACCATCTAATTCCATGGCAAGCTACGAGGCTTGTGTTATAGATATCAGATAGTTGATACACTACCTATATGTGTGTAGTAGTAACTTTACACTCATATCACAAATAATATAAATACTGGAATTCAAACATTCGTGCTCATCACACAAATGAATGACGGGACTCGAACCCGCGACCACTGGCACAGCTAGTAGGGCACTACAAACTGAGCCAAACGTGTAGTCGAACATTGGACACACTAAAGTTTCATATTTCGCAAGAGATGTGTTTCACTTCATTTCCATTGTCTCGAGACGAGGCCGACCTAACAATTTGCTTTTCCGCTCTTTCAAATGTTTCTATGTACGGAAATATTGATGGCCTTCTTAAGGTCTTCTTGAATTCGGTCAAAATTATCGCACACTTACATCATCGATATAAAACATTTATAAAAATAAAAAAAAAGTACTAGATACAAAGTTCCATGCTTTCTCTTAAAACTGTCACCAATTGTGTTTATTTAATTATTCTAGTTGAAATAAATATAAAAGCGCGCTCAAAAGTTCAAATGAGCGTTCATTCGGTGATCTCATTCTTTGTCGCTGATTGTGTATTTTGGTCGATGCATGCATTTTACTAATAGTGCATGTACTCACTTCACATTAAATTGTAATCTAGAAGAAATTCTAAATTCAGTTCATAACAAAAAAAAAAAAAAAACTTTTCGTATTTTATAACTTTCTATATAATAAAAATTATAATTCTTTGTATGTTTTTTTCATGAACGAATTGTGGCTAATTTTTTCATGGTTTTTTTATTTACGTTCAACTTTGGTGAGTTCTGCGTATGCTCGCGAAGACTTATAAAATAGATATTTTCTTAGTATCTTTGTCCTCTGTAAGTACGTTCCTAAACCAATAATTTAGTTGCTCAGCTGCAGCATAGGCTATCTGCCAGTGAAAGTCCCGTCAGAATCAGTACAGCCGTTTTGGAGATTAACCGGAACAAACAGAAAGACAGATAGATAAAAAAAATTGAGTTTTTCTTATAAGTAGGTACCGTATATAATATGAAATGCATTTAGTATAAAGTATGTTATTTTGACATTATAAACACACTTGAATTTCATAGATGTGAAGTAATAGATAGTAGGGGGAGAGTTGCAAGATATGTCAATGCCTGAAATTGAACTGAATATAGCATTTTACTTTTCACATATCTACATTAGGGGATTGACTATATATGTATCTACCTATGTAATTTAGGTTTATCTGTAGGTATATTATCATAAAATTCTGAGTCGAATCTGTACATTAAATATCTTTTAGAATTATACTGAAACAGTCGTTATTATCGATATATAGGCCGAGTCTATAGTTTTTAGAATTTTTGTCTGTCTGTCTGTTTGTTCGTCCGTCCGTCCGTCTGTTAGGAAACGCATCACGAGAAAACCACTGGACGGATTTTGATGAATGGACAATGGTGATAGGTACCTGGTTGGCCGGGTCAACGTATAGGATACTTGTTATTGTAGGATAATATCTCATCCCTGAGAAATTTATACTAAACGTTAAAACGTAACTAGGGACGAACCCGAGCGAATCGAGTGTAAGTCACT